ATATTTTATAATGTAAGAGTACATGGAGTTCACCTTCTTGAAAATATATGCTAAAGTCTGCTGATTCATCTTTTGGAAATGTCTGAGGAGGTAAAAGCCCAATCTATCACTGAAATTTTGTGCAAAATCATAGAATATAGGGCTAAGAAAAAGGGAAATACAATTCTAGAATTTTATCAGAAGGGATATTTCCATTGAAATAAGGCAGCATTAATGTTACTATGTAAATAGCGACTAGAACCTGTCTAGAATACTGCTGACAGCTTTGGCTATGCATTTGCAGAAAAGGTAAAATCAGCCTATATTAGTAAAAACCCTCTTACCAACTGTTTTGCCATAGTCAGAGAGCTGATTTACGTGGCCTAATAAAATAGGGGTAGATGGAATACTAGAAGGTCAGCAGAAGAAAGAACTGTGTAAACCTAAGGGCAATGTTTGCATAAAAGGGAACAGTAAAGGCTGCTCAAGAATACATTTGGATTGGAAAGTAAAAGGGTTTTAATGTTCTGAGACCCTTCCAAAACTGTGTTGGAGTCAAGAAACTCAATCACATTTTCATACACTGAACACACATTTCATGAGCTAGGTTTCATGAAAATGGCTTTAACAAGCTACAGACAGTTTATTAAATAGTTTCTAGGATGTAGCTGTGTGTTGCAGTGAAGGAGCGAATTTGCTGACCTAGAGGTCCTTGTTCCTTTCTCTTAATTGTAGTGTGTGAAGGGAAATTTTTATTTTTATTTAATGTATTGGCAGTCTTTGATACTACTGAGTGTAAGATTTCTCCTGGTTGAGATTCTTTCTGAATAATTTCTTTTTTTTTCCTGTGAGAATCCAAAAATAGTTGTAAGCCCTTATTCTCATGCAAGAAAATTCAGGTTTCTTTTTTTTTAATTTTAGTCTTATGCCATGCATGTGATTGAGTTAATGAGGATTTAGATAAAATGGTTACTATTCAAAGGATGGTGACATTAACATGTATGTTCACCACATGTAAACCAGTTAGGACAGTATGCTGAGTAGTGCTGTGTCCATATGAATTTGAGATTCAGAGTTAGCTGGCTATGATTTAATCCAGATATAACAGTAATAACACTTTTGCCATCTTTTTCTTAGTAGAAATGTAGTTTGAAAATACATCGTAACTTTCAGTTAGAAGTAAAAATCAGTATCAAAAATTATTTGTAAGTAGGGGGTTTAAAATTCAAAAAGTAACAATTGTCCTTGAACAAGTACAGCAAGCACAGAAGCAAGTAACTTTGCAAAAATGTCTGTAAGACATTGCTTCCCTGACCTTGTAGTAGCTGCCTCTCAATGATAAGATGACACATTTAACTGCTTTAACTTATTATGCTTCTGTTTTCAGCCCTACATTCTTGCACTTACAAAACAAAACATGCAGGCCAAGATATTTTGAGGCATTTTGGAGGCGTGCAAGATTTCTGAATGATGGCCTGGATTTTAAACCTTCCCTTTTTTTTTCAAAAGTCTGTCTGACAAGGGATTTTAAGACTAATGTGATTATTAATGGCCTTCTAGATACAAAAGCATAGTTTATCTAGTCTTTGGAGTTCTGTGTTAGGTGCATACAAGCACCTAAAGTAAATGAATCACAATATGTCCCTTACTAGCACATATTGATACAATATTATCTAGTGATTATATAGTGTTGACAGGCTGTGGCCTCACTTTGGTCATAATCCCAATTTGTTAACAACCATGCAAACAATTTTTCGTCTTTTTCTTGAAGAAATTGCAATCAGTGATAGAGATATGAGAATGCATGAAACAACTGGCAAGACACAATTGAAATAATACTGAGATACCCATAGATAAGACTTTTGACAATAAACAAAAAGGGTGATAGCATAGTTTGCAATGAAACCAAGTAGCTTGGACTGGCCTTTGTTCACACTGCTTGAGGTTAGCACTTGCTAGAGCAGAGTGTCTTCATTCATCCTACATAGCACTTAATCCAGTTCTTCCCTGAAGCCTGTGCAGTTCCTGCTTCACCATAAGATATCATTATTATTTTATCTGTTTAGTTCAGATTGTTTGGATTAACATGAGGTTTACTCTCCTGAACGATGTGTTCCATGTGTGCTGGGGTATGGCATGAAAACATCTGCAGAACTTTCTTGGGTAGCATTGGTCTGAGTTTAAATTGATTAGGTTTCTTCACTGTGTCTCCCATCAATTGCTATTTGGATGATGACTCTATTTTCTGGATTGGAGTGAGCCAAAAAATTGAATGGAGGCTCAGCTAATGATTTCAGTGCTGTAGGCAGTCAGGACCCAGTACTCAGGCATGTTCCTTGATCACCTCTTATTTGTCATCTCCTTAACTTTGGACCATGAAGACTTGTGGCATTTCAAGGTTACCTGAGTATGGCTTAGTTTGGCTAATGTACTGTCCAAAAACTGCAGCAACTCCAAAGTTGTTCTCAAACACATCAGTTCTCTCAGTCTCTGCAGCAGAAAGGACCGCTAGAGGGATGGGAGGTCAAGCTGAGGTCACCAGCAATTTTAGCCAGCTGGTTTGAACCTGCTGCTGCACATCTATAAAAGTTTTCTGTAAAGCAGCCAGAGACTTCTCCCTGTGTATTCCCTGGCAAGAAGTTTATTTATAAGTTATGCAAATTAGCATTCTTTGGGCATCCATTTGAAGTCCCCTGTAGGTACATAAAAGGACACAGAGAATGTGAACACTTCTTACTACAGATAAATACAATTACGATGAATATGATATTTATTTATCATTGCTCGTGAACAGAGGCAGCTTAGATTTTTATGTGTTTGTTTGTTTGTTTTGTGGGTTTTGTTGTTGGTTTTGGTTGGGTTGTTTTGGGCTTGTTTCTTTGATTTTAAGGTATAAAAACCATGCTCAGATGTCCCAGATAATAAACCCAGTGGATTGAAGTTAGTCTTCATCTTTTCTCATCAGGTTCATGGTGGTAGGGAAACCTATAGCCATTCACCTAAAACTATTTAGAATTAGAATTCTTGTCTGGACCACAACTGGACCATTTGCACTGTGCTCCATTTATTCCATAGGTTATTCATTCAGGAAGGAATGTGCAGCTAGTAGACACTTGAAATCTATGTGGTTTCAGTTTTGAAAGCCTAGCTAGTTGCTTCCAGGTCATTAATGTCATATGGGAAAGTTCAGGAAGACCTGTGATGCAAAATGTGATTAAAGATGTTAAATTCTCAGTTCTTCATTTTAGACAAGCTTGTTTATGTCATGAATCACAGAATGGTTGATGCTGGAAGGGACCTCTGGATATCATCTAGTCCAACCCCCTGCTAAAGCAAGTTCACCTAGAACAGGCCACACAGAATTGTGTCCAGGCACCTTTTGAATATCTCCAGGGAAGGAGACTCCACAAACGCTCTAGGCACTCTGTTGCAGTGCTCTGTTACCCCAAAGTAAAGAAGTTTTTCCTCATATTCAGCTGTAACTTCCTGTGTTTGTTCATGTCCACTGCCTGTTACCTTGTCACTGGGCACCACGGAAGAGTCTGGCCATATCCTCTCGACGCCCACTAGTGTTCACTCCTAATCCATATCTGACGACACTTCTACACTTACCTCTTAACAATAAAAATCTGGACTCTTAACAGTAATAAAACACTGAAGCATATTTTCCAGCAGGGTAGATTAAAAAAGCTAAATTTTGAAGACTACAAAGTCAGCAACTTTAGTGTTTAGCTTATAGTTTGCAAAATACTTTTTTCTTTTGAAAATAGCAAAGGGTTAGATAAAAGCATGAATGCCCAATGTGAAACCTTGATCCAAGCTTGTTTGTCTTTATCTCTAAAGAGAGGCCCCTACACTTATGTCTTCCCTTGCCACACACACACATATTAAATATTAGTTCAGGGTAATTTCCTTCCTTCACAGATGGTAGAGCACACCAAAGAAGGCAAGAATAGGGTTCATATCTTTCCATCTTACAGGTGTATGGTCTACTAATCATGGCTTTCATTTCTAATAATTATAATTTTCATTTGTGGTGCGTCCAACAGCAACACCAACCTTAGGGTGGAATTTGCTAGAAATCTCACATTCTTAATATAAGAATCTCTGAAATTCAGCGTGTTTCCCTGATGCTGCAAGAAGGAAAATCCCAGGCCATGATCCAACTTGACACAAAAAGAAACAGTTCTTCCTGACCCTAAACAGACCTGTTGGATCATTTAATCCTGAAAAATATTTCCTCCCTGCTGATAAGAAGACCAGAGTAATTTTTAATAGAATGGCCAACCCTAGATATAGACTATAGGGACAAGAAAGCAGTTGCTTCCATTATTGCTGCCCAATAAGATGTTAGCATTTTTAACAACACAGTGTTGTTTATGCTGTAATTTTATTATGCATCTCATGGTATTTTGTGGCTTTTACAGAAGTCTTCATTTAAGGTGTCTGACTGACATCCTCAGTCTCAGTCCAGTTTTAATCTATTTTTATCTTCTTTTAAAGTAAGATTTGTCTAGTTCTGATACCTTGAAAACTTGTAGATATGGTGCACCTTTCACTCTAGTGTTTGAAAAACATATGAGAACTACTAATATTATTTTGCAATTTTAATAGCACTTTAAATCTTCAGTAATCTCATGATTTTTTAAGACTGAAATTGGAATACCTTTAACAATATGATGGTACAAATAAAAGTTTAAACAGTTGTCTAGATTTTTTTTAAATGATAGTATGGTACTCATATTCATATTGAGACTGTTGTTAAAAACATACTCAAAATATAATACTTCCATAAAGAACTTTTCCCTTCAATAATAAAAACGTTTTTCAATTTAATGACATTTCTTTGTGCTTTCACCAATGCAGAAAAATTTGGATCAAATTAATTTTTTATGTCAACTAATTTGGCAATTCAATTACAGTAGTTTCATTTATTTTATTTTTTTTCCATTTTAAGTAAATCTGATTAAATAGTTTATTTGAAGTACATCAAAAGGTTGATTTTGATTTTCTTATTTTAGATTATTATGTCATGCAATGAAAGACCATATAGTGCGTGTCGCAAATGAAGCAGAATTTATTTTGAACCGACAAAGAGCTGAAGATGTCCACAAGCATGCTGAGTTTGAGGTAAGCGTGAGAGCTGGTGCATTTCTGATTCTCTGTTTTCACTCACTTGTCACCTAGACTGTAACCCCACACAATAAGAATTGTTTTTTCTTCCAAGGAAGAAATTTACATTGAAAGCATTTCAAAACTAGTTTTTAAAAGCTTTAGTAAATATCAAACACAAGGAATGAGTTTCTCATCTTGTCACTGAAATTCATAAAAGTATTTACAGCTTGAAGAAAAGCCTTAATCAGAATGTCTAATCTGGTATGGTGGACCCTTAGGTTCACAAAGAACTTTTCTGATTTTTTGAAAATGGTAATGCAAATCACCTTAGTAATTTTTTTTGTTGAGTTTTATCAACAGAATATATGAGTTGAGTAAGTAATTAATACACTTAACGATACTTCATCAAAAATAAGAAATAGAAATGTTTTATCAAACAAACACTATTTTAAGGTCATTTTGTTAGAAATTCTCAAATTTTGGAGCACTCTAGAGCATTCATCTGCTATAATTTATATATTGAAATACGATATTGCATATCTTTCTTGATAGTTAGGAATCATTGACCATTGACATTAAGACTGTTTAAAATGTCTGTTCAGTATTGAAAGAAGTAACAGAGCAACTGACTCCCATAACTCTTTAATGTCTATAATTCTTATTCTGAAAAGGAATTAGCATTCAATCGTTTTTTTTTCATCAATGAGTGTTGCAGTATACAATTTAAATTACATGGTTTGAAAGTGATCCAAATGTAAAGAAAAACTGTTTTAAAACTCGTTCAGTTTAGCAGATTTTCAATTATTTATACAGAATTAATTTTGTTCCTATAAGAAAAAAATCATGTGGAAGTAATGGAGCAAAGTTAAAACTTCATTTTTGACATGACTTTATCAAATATGGTTTTGCATTTTTATGGTGTTTTATACATTTCAGTATCACTGGGTTTTATCATTTCCAAACCTGCCTTGTGTTGGCATACATTTGTATAAATGTGCAAGCATACATTTCCACGTTTTAATGCTCAAATGACCTAACATTAAGATAGACTGACATAGTATTTATGATAATAAATAGCTGTATCAATTTATTCATCTGTCAGAAAATGTCAACAAGCAGCTGGTGGCTAGAAATAGGATCCAGTAATCTTAGTTTTGATGAGGTTTTTATCTTCTTGAAACAGCTCTCTTAAATGTGCACTTTGATGTACTAGTTCTTGTGCTCCTTGACCTATCTGAAAAGTGTGAGACATAGAGATATCTGTTGTCATTTTGAATACACATAACCTTTACTTCATTTTGTCAGAGCAGACATCAGACACTTGTCGTATGGGATTGCAACAACTTTATTACCAAGTTTATACTGGATATTTTGAACATAGGTAAAATCACATTTACAATTAAGTGTATGTCAGAGTGAAGTTTCATATTGCCTCAACAATAAATAACATTTGATATTTATCAGAGCATCATGCAGTAACCTAAGATGACAATGGAAGATTGAGTTATCTGCTCTTTGAAGAATACATTGAGGCATAAGATCTGTCAGAACTCTAGACAGAATGAGAATATTCAATTAACTTCCAGCTTCTGTTAGCAAATAGGATTTAGAATATTAACTAAATTCCCTAAAGGAATAGACTTAAGTCAGTCTTATTGTCTGGTGAAGAAACCAACATTTTTCATATATGAAAATTTTCATTACATTTGTCACCTGAAAAGCCTCAGATAAACATTTTAGATGAGTAGGATAAAAACTGCAAGTCATAAAAGAAAATTATGAAATGTAGACTGTGTTAAATGCGAAATTCCCAGGTACTTAAATAAGGTGATGGTTAGAATGTTTTATAGATTGTCTTTAATAATGGTATAATACAACTGAACATTTTACTATTCACCTACTTGAAAGCAGTAGGGACAAAGAAATTTCTGGTAGTTTTCTGTTACGTAATTATAAATCTGCCCTTTTGTTTTAATAAACTGTATTGGTATATGTTCTGGGGTTTAGTACATGTTAATAATTGCTCTTAGCTAGAGATGTGGGGGGATATTCTATTTTATTTTTATCCTTTAAACTTTAATTGAATCATTACGGGTGAAATTATTTGGTCCAAGCTGCACCAAGTTACTGTGTCTCCTGTGTAGTGGGGAGGCCCTGAACCAGCATCTAAAGTTTATCCTGTGACTTGTAGTCAGAGCCAGGGAAACTCATCCCAGAGAGGTTGCTTCACAGTTAACTATTGTTTTGTTGACCTTTGTAATTGTTCAGGAAAAAAATGAAAATTTAATTTTACTGTCCAATGAGCTGGTGAAATATTAACCTCATTACTAAAGCAGATCATTGTACTAATTGGTGCTTCACTGTACAAGAAGATAAATTGAAAAATGAATTAACCCTTTATGAATTTGTGTAACCATTGTTCTTTTCCAGATAGATTACTTGAAATAATGTCTGTAAACACAATGGAAAGACCACTGTTAAAATCTTGCTGAATGCTAATGTGATCTGTACTAAAAAGGTAGCGTGCAGAAATATGAAGAATAAAATACGATTTAGTATGAGGTTAATTTTAATTGCTCTTTTGAATCCTAGAAAATTGGATTCTATTTAGTACTGTGTTACAGCACTGAGTGTTGGTTAAACGTGCACAATAACTGAGTGCAATAATGTCCTTTAAAAGGTATTTTTTAAATTAGCTGTTTTGAGAATAATCTAGCCTTTTAAATTTATACCTAGAAAATCATAGTGGATTTTTTTTTTTAATTACTCTGGCTGCATTCCCTTCCTTTGGACATTTTTAAAGAATTTTACTAGGAGGAGAAATTGAGTTTGAACTTAACATGATTTTGACAAAATAAATGGAAAAATATTGTGTTTATTATACATAAAGAAAGGATTTATCAAAAAAAATACACTATAGAATGTTTAATGTTTAGAAACAAATTTGCATGAAGTCCAATAACCACAGCATTTATTTTAGAAGTAGTTTTCTCTTAAAGGAAACATGATGAAAATATTAGATTTTTAGTTTAAAAGATGAGCAATTTTTTATCCATTATGGTTTTTAAAAGTGGTAATATGTTATGAAATTTTTTCACGTTGTGATATGAAATAGAAAATGTACTCCTTAGTTTTGTAGTTAAAGGAGTTCCTATTTAGCACCCTTAGTAATAAAATAATCAAATGGCTTTTTCATTTTAGATCTTAATGTAATTTAAAAATCAAAACCAGTGTATGTAATTTTTTCTTCTATATTTTGCTATGTATGTTATACCTGTATTTATACCTGAGAACACATGAAACATTTACCACGAGAGGCTAACTTTTAATGCATATCCATGGTCACACATATACACACAGAGATATATGGCTAAATGTGTTTTTTTGCAATTCTGTTGTCTTTGCCCTTGCTATTTCAATTTTTACATGTTCTAAGTGAATGCTTTTTCATGGATAGTATATACTTGTAGAACCATTTCAATGGAATGGTATGACCTTGTCCTCTGAAAAGTATTTTAATGGATTCTTGTAGTATTTAAAGAGTTTTAGTAAATAATAATTTTAAGGCAATTCTAAATATCCTGTCTTTTATAAAGTGGATGTGCTTTCATTCCTAGTCGCAGTGTGCTCAGTATGCTGCTGACAGAAGAGAGGAGGAGAAGATGTGTGATCACCTCATCAGTGCTGCTAAGCATCGAGATCATGTTACAGCCAATCAGCTGAAACAGAAGATACTCAACATACTAACAAATAAACATGGTGCCTGGGGAGCCGTTTCTCACAGGTAACTTGCAAATGTAAAATGTGTGCGGCTTTAATCGTTGCTTTCAAAATTTGAGAGAAGCAGACGTATAACTGAAATATGAATGTATTAGGAACTTTAATGTACTTAAATGTAGCATATGCAAAGCTCAACATAACTAAAGTGCAGCTCAATTCTGCAGGTATTCCTGTTCAAAAAATTAATTTAAAAATATGTAAAATATATAATTTCTTCCATATGTAACTGGTGTAGTGTTTGAGGTTTTAATCAGAACTGTATTGAGTACTGTTTTTAAAAGTACATTCTATTCAAAGGTGAAATTAAACGTTTTCATATGTCATGCAAAAAATCGGAGCCTTGCTCTTCTGAATCACAAAAATAGCCAGTGGCTAAGGTGCTGATCCTCATGCGGAAGACTTGAGCTGAAATTGCTCCTTTCCTTCATTCAGAGCCAGGTCTTGAACCTCGATCTGTCATGTGAGTGCCCTGTCTGCAAGAGTAGAGACTGCCAAGTCTCTCTCTTGTTTGTCCATTCTAGCCACAAATATTTGATTATTTATTCAGAGTGAAACAAACAAAAGAAATCAAGGTAGTCCTGCTCCCAGATACCCAAAATTTTACAGCTTGGTTGTCTACTTAAATCCTATTTAAGTCTGCTCTGAGTCAGGCAGAGTGGAACAGAAAGTTCCCTCATTCCTGAAAAACCTTTTCAGTAATAAACTAGTTGAAATGGATAGACTAATGCAAAAACTTTTTTCTAGATAAATATTCTTTAAAAATATATTTTTGTTTAGATTGACTACATATCTAAGGTTTAAGCCTATTAGAAAAGTTGCCAAGTAGTTTATTTGACATGTCAGATATAAAGTTTAATAAATACCACATATATTCTTCATTCTTTTTGTAATTCTGTCTAGTTGGTTCTTGCAGTTATACAGTGTTTAAAAAAACCTGAATTTTTTCATATTCATTATCTAAAGAAATCACTCTTTCCTGGATGATGATGGAGATGTATTTATTTTTTAAGGTGGGAAAAAAAAGTGTGAAAATTCAATCTTACAGAAACTCTGGAGTCTAACACCAGAAACATTCTGGTGGAAATTACAAAAATGACGAGTAGAAAATTGTGATATGGTTAATTCAAAACAGTCTTAGTCCATAAGGGATGCTCATGTTATCTCTAGTTGAGGCTTAAAGCTATATGTCTGGAGAGTTGAGCATGATGAAAATAACTGCAATTTTCAATCCTTTTAATGTCTTTGAATAATGAATAACAATTTTGTTGCTCAAGTTTGTGAATGGCTGCAGTCACTTTTCAGGCTTAAATGAGTTCCTGGTCACTAACTTTCCCATGAAACTATCTCTTCCTAGGGCTAGGTAACTTTTATCTCAAGGATTGTTTATGGCATCCTTAAAGGGCAACAGTCCATTGCTGCAGCTTTTTTTTTCTCTTAAGTCCATGATAGTTTTTGATGGGTCGTAACACAGCTTGACACCTGCGAGAAACCTATCAAATTTCATACGCCAGACAAAAGAAACTTATTTTATCCCTGTCATGCCACTTCACCGATGTGTCTGCTTCTCAGTTACTGGCAGGGCTGCTTTCCCATTTTGGTGCTTGCTGTGTTAGGTGAAGCTGTTGGCTTCATTATGTTTTAGCTGCAGGCTTAACCTGGAGAATGGGGGACATGGTGACAGCATAAGGTCTCCAAGTGGGGTTCCCTCTTCGAAGGAGCCAAGATGGAAGCAAATGGCCTTGCACTGGAGGTTTTACCATGTGTGCCATGGCAGCTTTGTGATCCAGCACACAAGTGCACCTTCTGTCATGAGACCTAGTGGATTGTGAATGGGAAGGACTAGGATGACGACAGGGAAAGGGAGATGCCCAGTGGGAGAGCTTCTGAGCCTTGTTAGGGACTGAGGTCATTCATTCTTAGCAGGCAGATCTGAAAGGCATCAAGGGCAGAAAATGGAGAGAGGTCTCATTAAACTCCTCAGGCACAGAAGGCATAAACTGTTTTTAGTTAGGTAGCTCCTCCAATTCTCCAATATGATGAAAATTGAGATGGGTTCCAAAATCATACAGACCTCTGGTCTTGGCTGGCAGGAGACGAAACAGGACTCAAGTCTCTGGTTTTAGTTCCTGACAAACATTTGCAGTATTAGCAGATTCTTTATTGACTGTACCCCAGGAGATACAGCCTGACTGGAATACAGAGTTACTTTAAAACAAACGGAAAAACCTGGGTTATCATTCCAGACCTCTAGACCTCTGTAGTGATTCCATCATTTCTGTCAGGGAAAGTGTTCTCAGTTCTGAAAGTGCACTGATGGTCTCCTGTTCACCTTAGGAGCTGAAGACCCTTCATTGAAATGGTGAATTAAGGAGATTGTCCTCAGGCCCAGAAGGGGCAGGGGAAGAAACAGGCAGCCACTTCTGCACAATAAATACTTGGGTAATAGCAATACCTTTGACATCCAAAATGGATAAGATAATGGTAAGAAAATATTTGGGCGAACATGAGTGTGATTCTTCAGAGCTTCAGTTCTGTATTGCATACACAGCTGCAGCTACTGAATTACTGATAATTGTAGCATATGGTACTCATACATAGAATCATAAAATCATTTAGGTTGAAACAGATCTCTGAGATCATCAAGTCCAACCATTAACCTAACACTGTCAAGTTCCTCACTAAATAATTTCCCTAAGTGCCACATCTACAGTCTTTTAAATACCTGCAGGAATGATGGCCCCACCACTTCCCTGGGCAGCCTGGTCCAATGTTTCACAACCCTTTTGGTGAAGAAATTTTTTCCAAATATCTGATCTAAACCTCCCCTGGCACAACTTGACACCGTTTCCCCTTGTCCTATATGTTTTTGTTTATCTCTTCTCAAGATAAACAATTTTTATAAACAATTTTTAACTTCCTTAACATTGATGCTCGTGTTGCAAAATGTTACGTTCTTATTTTGTTAAATATGAGCCAACTGTAGAGAACCTTTTTTCTTGTGTTTGCAGTTCAAGGCAATGAGCTTGTAAGCCTCCCCAGCTTTTGTATCTGTGTGTTTTGTCTTTGCAGAAAGCAGCAACCAGCATTTACTATTTAATCTGTAGGTGCCACAAAGTTTACTCTTTGTTCATTAAGAAACAAAGAGACTATTAAGAAACACAGAAGGCTAGTACTGAGAGGAAAAACAAGAGGTTTGATGAATGAAATATTATAGTATTTTTAAATTATGAAATTTAAATATATTATCATAAACTGTTCTCAAAATCTTTGAAGAAAGAAGAATGAAATTGAATGGTATGAGTCAACAAATTATCATATTCAATTACAAGTTCCATTATAGTTACATATAGAGAGCTTAAATAAAAATAACATAAAATCATAGGTGACTTGCATTTCAATTAGCTTCCTGATTATCTCTGAATTTATGAAGGTGAAATTAATTACAGGCAAATGCTCAACAACTTTAATAAATTCCTACAAATGCAGTAACAATGTACAACCAATCCATGTCCATGCATTAATCAATCAGTAGAGTTTGAGTTGGTCTGAAAACCTCTTACTCTTTCATCTCCTGAATAGAAATAGTAAATAAGAGTTTTGAAAAAAAAAGTTTTTATTTCTTGTCAGTGCTAGCATATTTCCTTTATGTCTTAATGTGAAAACCAAAATTCTTTTGGCTGGTTTCTTGCAAGTGTGAGCATCAACTCCTCTACAACAAACGGAAATTACTGAATCATCTGATTTTCCTCTACATATCTCAGACAAAGAATAATAGATTTCAAAATAATTCTCATTATTTTGTTACAAATCGTCTTTGTGCCCTTTAGCCAAGCTAATTCTGTTTTTCACATTTTGGCAATTTGACACTTTTAGGTATCTCCATAATAGCTTACCCTAAGCATACTGGTTTTCCTGTTCTTAATTTTAGCATTATACCAAAATTAGAATTCTGCAGGTTTTTCCAATTCAGATGAGAAATTGATTAGTTGTTTATTTCTTTGATGCATTGCCACTTATTCAGAGTGGATATGCAACATTCTGTTTCCTTGAACTCAGGAAGAATCAAATAGTGTGTTTCATAGCTTAGCATTCAAAGCTTCCTTAAGCCAGCACTTACCCTTTAGCTTTTTTCAGGGTTATAGTTTTCATGTCACAACATATGCTTCCTTCTGTCTTCTCTGTCAGCTTCATATGGCACTTCTCTTCCTCCCCATCTGCTTCCCTCACCATATACATCTTTCTTTAAAAAAAGAAAAAATAATTAATGAAACTTGTCTGTACACACAGTTCGAATTCCTTATCAACCATATGCATGCCTGTGTTTTGGGCCATAAGCTGTTACTGTATTACTTAAGCTTCTTGGTTTTATCAGATATCTCAACTTTTCAAAAACTTTTATTCAAAAATACTGTATATGAAACTCTACCTTACAGTTTCTATGGGTTTAAAGCAATCTGGGGCAGTAAGAAGATCTGGGGCAGTAAGAAGAGTTCAGCATTCCAATTAGTGTTCTAAATCTAAATATGAAGTGCTTATTATAGATATTTTCACATGATCAGTTTTGATATTCACAAGAGTCCTACTATAATCAGAAAAATTATATTTAAAAATGAGGCTTGGTTCTCCTGCTTTCTGTGATTTGATGAACGAGGTTCCACCTACATTAAAGCACTTTACAAAGAGCAAGTATACAAGGGCTTTTTCTGTTCAAATCCATCTTTGGTTAAACTAGACACCCATAACAAATTAATCATTCATGGTGGAGGGCAGAGCTGTCAAACTCATTCTGTGGTGAAGACCAAATTCGTCTGGGGAGACAGGCTTGAAATAAAAAGTTTCTTGCCAGACAGCTAGTTCTGCCTCTCACTACAACATGTGCTTCTACAGAGACTTGGTTCTGCTGGGGGCTGAGAACAGAAAGAGAACTCCCCTTGCCCAAGCCTATGGGGCTTGGTAGTTAAATAAGTTGATTCTGGCGCAACACTGGTTCTAAACCAAATATTT